CATAAATTATAGAATACGATAATTTCAAGTGGTTGTAAAACCTTAAGGTTTTTTTTACCTTCATGCATTCTATGCATGAAGGTAAAAAACCTTCTCTGTTCAGCATCCCCCCAGCCCCCCTAATACTCACCTAAGCCCCCTCTTGATCCAGCAATGTGCACTGGAGTCTCGGCTATCCCGGGACTCCCTCTCCTCATTGGCTCCCACTGCTGTCAATCACAGCCAGTGAGCCAATGAAAAGGGGGGGCCGAGCTGCGGCTCCATGTGTTCCTCCCACCTATCCTGCCTACTCTGTATAAAAAGGATCTGTATTTTTAAACACCTCCAGTCGGGGCGGACTGACCATTTGGAAACTTGGGCACTGCCCGAGAGCCCGGGGTCAGTAGAGGGCCCCATGAGATGCCCCTGGTACCTTTTCCATAGGCTTTGTTGAGTTTGGGCAAGGACACAGGGGCTCCATGATCCCCTATTGCCCGGGGACCCCATGAGTTGTCAGTCCGCCCCTGCCTCCAGTCCAGTCACACACGATCCCATAGCTCTGGCTATCAGTAAGCAGCTGCTGCAGGGGAGAGGAGGGAGCACTGACAAAGGGTTGAGGGAGCCTATGGGTGGCATCACCATTCCCAGAATTCACAGCCACTGTGTGCTCCCTTACACAGTGCAGCTTGAGCAGATTAAAAATGGTATGTTTACAGATCTTTTTTTCACAAGCCATGCAGTATAGGTAGAAGGAGAGCAAATAAATAGTTTATGTTAGGTCTTACTATTATTTTAAAGTCAATTCACTTTAAAAAAAAAAAAAGACAGGCAATTGATTTTTTAGGAATGTAGAAGATAACAATCAGGGGACTTCTGCACTGGCCAGTAAGTGAAAAGAAAACAATGTATCAAATTGAAAATGCAATGTTGTTAACTCAGGAATGTAAAAGTTTATAACATTGCACCAGAGAACGACCATTCTGCAAAAGGAAGGCACACTAGGGCCCCTTTAACACTGATGGACCGATTGGGTCCACCCATCAGCTTTTCAGGCGGACCCAATCGGGCCATCCAGAGCTCTCTATGGAGCGAAAGATGTCAGCAGACATGTCCCAATGACACCCGCCTCCATCCGATCTAATCCTGTCCACTTAAAACAGACCATTCCCCATCCGTCTGACAGATCGGATGACAGTTGGATGGAAATGAGCAGGCGGTCTGTTTCCATCCAACTGGCTCATAGACAACAGTGGGCTGTGTGCAATGCAGAGTGGACACAGACCTGTCATCCACCTGCTCAGCAGGGATCAGAGGAGAGATCTCCCGCTGAGCAGGCGGATCCACTTGACGGAGTCTGCTCCATCTGAAAGGAGCCTAAGGGCCCATTTACACTTATCTCCCACTAAGGCTGGGTTCATATCTATGCATGTGTGGTTGATTTGTTTTTGCTAAGCATTTTTCCTGCATTTTTTTGTGTGCATTTCATGTGCATTTTTTGTTTTGGCCAATGGCAAGCTATGTGCTGGTGGGAGGAGGTGTCTGTTGTCGTGCAGGAAAATGCAATGGAATCGCAAAAACGCAATGGAATCGCATAAAAAATGCATGCGTTTTTTGATGCAATTCCATTGAAGTCTATGGAGCCTAAAATGCACTGTACTGCGTGTAAAAAAAAGTCCCTGCACCTTTCCAAAAAACACATCGCAGGAAACTGCATAGTTGTAAATGGGACCCAAAAGAAATAAGGTTCAATTAATTGTAGTGTGTCTCGGAAGATCTGCAAATGCACTAGAAGAATGCACAGATGTGAACTTAGCCTAAGGACTTATTCATTCATTTACACTAAAGTCTCATTCACACCTGTCAACTGTCCACTAGAAGAGATCCATGATGGATTGCATTTCAGAGGGCGGTTGGCAGGTGATCTGTCACCTCCTCACTTCCTGTTTCATTCTTGAAATGCCAGCACTACCAAGTCACAACCGCATGCATTACAGGCAGTTGTGGGGCTGCCCCACCTACTTCAATGGGCCACTTTCATTGGCAGTACTGCCTGCTGACCATGACATGAAGTATAATTCTTGCCATGCCCATGGAGCAAGGCATCACAGCAGCAGCATGTGTACAACTCTGTTTCTCCACTGACCAGCTGAAGGGGGGCATTTTAGGAGTGGCAAAACCACAGTTTAACTGCCTATTTTTACTACCCACCTGGCTGCCTGTGTGAATGAATTCTTTGTGAAAATAAACTGAAATAAAACAACAAAAACATCCAAGAACTAAATATCACAAAAAGGTAAAAATGTAACACATTTCGTAGCCTCCCTGGCGGTATTCCTGAGTGTAGCTCGGGGTAAAGTTTCAGTACCACAAGCGGTAACCCCGAGCTACACTCGGGAATACTATGCGGTGCTGCTCCGGGATCTGTTTCTCTCTTACCTTGTCCTGCGCTTCTGCGATGTCCCTCCTGCAGTGTCCCCTGTAATGTCCTCCGGCGGATGCCGGCATCTGTCTTCCAGGTTCCGTCCCCTGCGAGCGTCGGGACGTACAGGGGACGGAACTGGTGGGAAATTTGAAAATGACAAAAAGTGACATTCACTAAAATCACTAAAATCACATAGTATAACATTACTGTATCAAACCATTTCACATACATTTTGTCCCTAGTGCTTTGTCCTGTGCCCTGCCTGCATTTTTACCGTTCTTATTGCCTGGAAACTGAGAAACGTCCATGGCATCTAAAAAGCATCCCTTTAGGTCAAAATCGGTTTTAGACCAGCTAGAGAACAGCGATAGTAAATTAGAACCACTTGCAGAATTGAGTGATAATGATTCGTGGGGAATTTGTCATCAGACACTGAAAACAATTTTGCGACTTTGCTCAGCGATGTGCGAACTTGGCGCTCTATTTCAAATTTCAGTGTTTTTGGTTTGATTATATTATTGAATTAAATGTATTATTATATTATTATTTTTTATGATTATTTATTAAATTATAATTTATGATTTCGTGTTTCAAATTTTATCATACCCGGGATGTTTACTAGACTCTTGCTCGGACAGATTTCAGTGAGTTATTCCTAAGAATTACAGGCCTACAATAAAAAAAATACATATTTCCATGCAAAAAAATGTACCGCTTTGAGCACAGAAATATGGACATAATCAGATCGCTAGGGAAGTTTAGTTAAATAACACATGTTGTTAGTGAATTGACTACTTTTGAGATAAAAATACTTTTTATTACCTTTAAGGCTGATGCTGCATTCACACACGCTTGGCCGTTTTGAATCTTGGTGATTCTGCCTGCAAATTTCTTTAAATGTCACATAAAAACACGGTGCGGTTTTGCCACGATTGTCGAGCAACATATCACGCTGCAATCGCGGCATAACGCATCACGCAACAAAGAGTGTCGCTCGCTCAAAAGAAGTTTCTGAACTTCTTTTGAGTAGCACGCTTAACGCGATGGGGTTTGCTGTAAGTGCAGCGTGATATATTGCTCGACAATCGCGACACAACCTCACCGCGTTTCCAGGTGTCATTAAAATGAATGGCACCTGAATATGTGGTTCCGCAAGTTGTCATATTAGCAGAGCATTTTGGAATCCTGGCAGAAATATGACGATTCTGCCTGCGATTCAAAATACCCGAGTGTGAATACAGCCAAAGCATCGTGTTTTAAGCCATTTTTCAAGTGTCTTTTCAAGCATTTTTGAGTGTTTTTTGGAGTAGAATTGCACTTTTTTACAGCTTTTGTCAGACATTTTTTCAGCTGTTTTTCAACTAGAAGGTTTGGAGTGGTGCTGAAAAAGAGGCAGAGGGATGCTGTTTAGGCAGAAAATGCTTGGCAAAAAGCTTGAAAAAAATGCTCCAAAAAAGCTCACGTCCCACTTTTCAGGCGTTTCCCCAAGACGTCTATGAGGACAAAAATGCTCAATTCTGCCTGAAAAGCAGCTCATGTATTTTAAGCCGCAGGCATTTTGCTACAAACAGCAGGACATTCTGATGTGAACAAGGGCTATTGAAAACAATAGGTTTTTGCTTGTGTTTTTCAGCATTAAGCTACAAGCCACGAAATGCTCAGGTGTGAATGGGGCCCAAAATTCACAGAATTTAACTCACCCAGCCCAGAACACCCATGCTGAAAAATCATGCAACCACTGCTGGAGTGCAGGTAGACAGAAAGTGAATACAAAAAGGCTGCAAGAGATCATTAGCACTTAGAGACAACTAAGGTTAAAAAAGGGAAAACAGGAACGTTATTGAAAACTAAAATTGTTTATTATATGCATTGTTTTATCATACTAAGCATTATTCAGTTAAGGTTTCCATGTACTTTATTTTGTGGTTTTAAGGGATGCCTGACCATCATGCTGAAATGTTGACATTGGGGTTGCTGCCTCATCCCTCTAACCACTTGCCTACTGGGCACTTTTACCCCCTTCCTGCCCAGGCCAAATTTCAGCTTTCAGCGCTGTCGCACTTTGAATGACAATTACGCAGTCATGCAACACTATACCCATATGAAATTTTTATCATTTTTTCCACACAAATAGAGCTTTCTTTTGGTGGTATTTAATCACCTCTGGGTTTTTATATTTTGCTAAACAAACTAAAAAAACTTAAAATTAAAAAAAAACAAACGTTTTTGTTAGTTTCTGTTATTAAATTTTGTAAATAAGTAATTTTTCTTCTTCACTGATGAGCACTAATGAGGCTGAAATGATGGGAGCTGATAGGCTGCACTGATGGGCACTGATAGGCAGCACTGATGAGGAGGCACTGGTAGGTGGTACTGATGAGCATTGACAGGCATCATTTGTGGGCATTGAAAGGCATCACTGATGGGCACTGAAAGGCAGCACTCATATATGGCACTGATAGGTGGAACTGATGGGCACTGATAAGTGGCACTGACTGGCACAGATAGGCGGTACTGACTGGCACTGATTGGTGGCACTGATAGGTGTTACTGACTGGCACTGATAGTTGGCACTGAAAGGCAGCTCTGATGGGCACTGATATGTGTCATTGATGTGCACTGGTAGGCACTGTTAGGCAGCACTGACCGGCACTGACAGGCAGCACTGACTGTCAGAGATAGGTGGCACCGATTGGCGGCACTGATAGGCATCACTGACTGGCACCGATAGGCAGCACTGACTGGCACTGATAGTTGGCACTGAAAGGCAGCGCTGATGGGCACTGATATGTGTCATTGATGTGCACTGGTAGGCACTGATATGTGGCATTGATGTGCACTGATGGGCACTGGTATGTGGCATTGATGGGCACCTTCAGGTGGCATTGATGGGCACTGACAGGGCTACACGGATCATCAGGGCACTGATCATCAGTGCCCTGATGATCAGTGTAGATGTCTCTGAGGAATGCCAATTATCAGATCTCCTCTCCTTACGCACTGTCAGCATGAGGAGAGGACTGCTGATAACCGGAATTTCCTTGTTTACATGCAATCAGCTGTAATTGGACACAGCTGATCACATGACAGAGCCGATGTCATCAGCTCTTTACAGTGATCAGTGATCCGCTGTACCCCAGGGACACAGCGCACTACCGATCGCCAAGGTCCCCCGGCGGCGCATGCACAGTTAGAGTGGGAGGACATTATATGACGTCCTCCCAGAACTAAAGAACCGTCGTCCACCCATCATTTCCTTATATGGCAGGCGGGAGGTGGTTAAAACCAAACACATATTAATTATACAGGTTCTGTGGCTAATTAAGGTGCTAATTAAACTCACTAAGGGCCTTATCTGCATTGAATTAGCCTCGGAACCTGTGTAATTAATATGTGTTCAGTTTTAAAGGGATGAGGTGGCAACCCTAGTTGGCATCAATGCTTTCTGAGTTCTTCCTGACTAGCAGGGATGAGCTTGAGTTTGGACTAAACCTCAAAATTATAGTATCTGTCATTACCAGCCTAATTAGTGAGATTCCCCACCACAGCTGCATGTATTCAAAAGGGTGGGAATAATTGTGACATCATATGACCTAATACAATGCTACCGCTAGTATATTCATAAAGAGGTCAGCAATGGCCTCCTGTATATTCCTCCCACTATTGCATAGTTCCAATCTGTCCCTCATTTGGAATCAAATGTCCTTATTTCCTCATCCGTTGTCCCCTCTTTTTGGTCTAAATAATACATAGAACGTAATACATAGAACTCTTAAAGCCCATTTTTGGGCAACAATCCAAGTTCACCATCTGGGTCCCTCAGTATTGTCTCTCAGTCTAGGTGTAGGAGGCCAGTAATCCAGTGATATAGATATTCCTGCACTGGCTGGTCCCCGGTGATCCCCTTTTGCTGACTGCACCATAGGGGAGCCTGAATTTCAGCAGTAAAAATATGTACTATTTACAAAAAGTATTATATTTGACCTATACTTCTTATACTTCACTAAAGGCTTCATCAAACCTCCAAATGATTGCAGTTGTTATTCTAAGTAAGGAGTAAAGGTGGTGCAAAAAAAAAAAAAAGAATTTGAGCTTAACTAATCATTTTTTGCATTTCCATTTTTGGGGGTCTACATGACTGGGGAGGTTAGTCCACAGCCCCCCACTGCCAAACAATGCTCAGTGGAACACCTGAATACAATGATTTGGAGGGGTGTCCCAATACTTTTGGCAATATAGTGTATATTGGTTGATCCAGAAAGAAATCTTGTGGGCTGGTAACTTCTTGTATTTTCTGCCTCTGGACTTTTATCAGCATTGCGCCCTGCTATCTCCATGGATTACAAGCACCTCTCCTCTAATGGAGAAAAGAGGAGGGTGTTATGCAGTCATAACACAGTGTTTTGTAGTCCAAACATACTCCCTGTCCTAGGGTTACAACGCTGGTCAGTACAGTAGTCACCCTAGGACAGGAAATGTGTTAATGCAGGATTACCAGGTTATAATATAGGAAAAAGTTGTGAAAAAAGAAAAATAATTCAGCCACTACACCTAAGGACTGGTAAGCTGCAATACCATTAATGCTTGTTCTTGTGTTTAAGTATGCTTTAAAATGTGTCACAACTACTTCATCCACTTCAAGACCGCCCACCTGCATTGTATTGAGGATGAGCAGCTCTTATAAACACAGCGACGTACCTGTATGTTGCTGGCTTCTTCTGGGTACAAAGCACATGAACAAGCCCCTGCCCACGGACTCTTGCTGTGATTGTACACAGCGGGATTTTGTAAGCAAGTACCGGCCAATGATCTATGGCCAGGGCCTGCTGATTGGCTGTGTTCAATCACAGCCCAGAGGCCTGTGTTGACAAACAACACAGGGCCCTGTACAGAGAAAACAATCTCTTTGTTTCTTCTCCCTGCAAAGCAGGGAGAAGGAACAAAGATTGTAAGTAAAAAGCAGCACACATTAACACTTCTTAGGCACACATCCCTTGATTACCCTGAGATGTTAACCCCTTCCCAGCCAGTGTCATTAGCACAGTGAGTGTGTATAGTGTTATCACTGATCAGTGTATTAGTGTCACAGTGTCAGTTAGTCAGTTCTCACCCTGTGTCAGTTAGTGTCAGATTGCACTATCACAGTCCCGCAATAAGTCGCTGCCACTACTAGCATAAAATGAATAAGTAAATAAAAATATAAAAGTATATATACCATTGTTTTTAGATGCTATAACTATTAAACAAATTGATTAATATACACATATTGGGATTTTTATTTACCAAAGACATGTAGCAGAATACATTTTGACATAAATTTATGAAGAAATTTGATATTTTTTAAACATTTTTATTGGATATGTTTAAAAGCAGAAAGTAAAAAAAAATTATTATTTTTTTTTTTAAATGTTCTTTTTTTGTTTTTATATAATAAAAAAAAAAAACAAGCGGTGATCAAATACCACCAAAACAAAGCTCTATTTGTGTGAAAAAATGACATAATTTTGGATACAGTGTTGCAATACCCATTAAAGTAGTGCAGTGCTGAATAGCAAAAAAAAAAAATTGCCCTGGTCATGAAGAGGCATAGGTGGAACTTACTTGGTTAATGCCAGAATTAGCAAGTTAACATATAGGAAAAGGTTGTGGAAGACGAATGCAGCAACCACCTCTTAGGACTGCCAAGCTGCAATACCATCAGTGTTTTGTTCTGGGATTTAAACATGCTTTCAGTGGGGGAGATTTACTAAAGCTGGTTCATTCAGAATCTGGTGCAGCTGTGCATGGTAGCCAATCAGCTTCTAACCTCAGCCTATTCAATGAAAGTGGTAGTAAGCTCTTATTTTGAACTTTTATCTACAGGTAAGCTTATAATAAAACTTATCTGTAGGTAAAAAGAATATTTTCTGCATGTGCATCATTTAGGAAATATTCTCTCTTCTTTAGAGCTGGCGCATTCGCTCTAAAAGGAACGGCATACCCGTGTCGTTACTTCAGAGCACTGTGCCGTGGCCCAGGACTCCTGCGCGCATGTGCAGGAATGACGTCATCGTGGCCTGGCCTTTCAGATGGCCAGAGCTTGTGAACCCGGAAGGAAGACGAAGCCTCTGCAGCGGTGACAGCTCGCAGCTGGAGGGCTTCATTGTAAGGTAAGTCCTACATAATGTGCTAGTATGTGATGCATACTAGCAAATTATGACATTACCTTGCAAGTGATTTTTTTTTTTTTTTTTTTCTGCGGCTTACTATTGCTTTAACCCCTTAGCGCGGGGTTTCTGACACTGAGAGGTTTAGGGTCATGTGACCGCTGTGATTGGCTGTCACATGATCATAAAGGTCCCAATCGCAAGGAGGGATCGGGACCTTTCCTTGGGATGCCAACACATGAACGCGCTCTCAGCAAATTATTTATTTATTTCAGGTACTTATATAGCGCTGTCAATTTACGCAGCGCTTAACATACTGTATATTCACATCAGTCCCTACCCTCCAGGGGCATACAATCTAAAGTTCCTAATTCACATTCATACATACACATATATATATTAGGGCCAATTTAAACAGGAGCCAATTAACCTACCAGCATGTCTTTTGGAGTGTGGGAGGAAACCAGAGTACCCAGAGGAAACCCACGCAAGCACAGGGAGAAGCATGCAAACTCCATGCAGGAGGCACCATGGTCAGGAATCGAACCCATGACCCATTTACTGCAAGGCAGACGTGCTAACCACTAAGCCACTGTGCCACCCATGCCAGCACACGTTTGTTTACAAATGGCATGCAAATACGCGGCCGCTCGGCATCAAGGCCCAGCCGCTGAGAGGCCGCATATTTGCGTGCGCTCAGTGTGAAGAGGTTAACCTTGGCAATAAAACCTAGAAGCTGATTGGTTTCTATGCAGAAGTAAGCCTGATTGTGCACTCTCCAATTTTAGTAAATAATCCCCAAGGTGTCATAACTATTTTAATAAAGTTACCCAACCAATAAAAGTAAAGTGGGGACATCTTATAAAGTTTGTAAAACATGACATATGCATTTTCATGGATTAATAAAAGCTGACTTTCTGTGACTTATCCTTAAACTAGGAGAGCTGATATCTAACTTTCTATGCATTTGACGATTGTCGGTGGGAGACCCTGCTAATGAAAAGTGCTTACTTTTTCCTGGATTCTATGACAAAGACATCTGAACTGTGTATTTTTTTTTTTTTTTAATCCTTCTTCTAGAAGCAGAAAGTTGATGGTATATAAAAATCAGAAGTGCAGAATACACATTGGACTGGGAATGGCAGCACTGATCCTGAGTGACACCATGTCAGAGCTGTCATCCCCTGGACCAGCACACGTGACGGGGTTCCTCTCCTCTCCTTCCCCGGGCCACTTACTGGCGCTGTGTGGCTTCCTAAGTAGCAGCACGCCTGCGCACTGTGCCTGGACCTATTCTTGGCATGCTTGGCTGTAAGATGAGTGAAGAAGCAGGTGGGGGAGAGGGAGAGAGAGAAAGAGAGAGAGAGAGACAGAGAGAGAGCTAGAGAGGATCTCTGTCTTTGAAAATAGCTCACTTTAACAGGAGCAAGCCACAGAGCTATCCCTGAATCTATTTCAGGGCTTGCCTACCTGCCAGGTGTGCCAGAATGATGGCCATGAACAGTAAGCAGCCTTTCAGCATGCACCCCATCCTCCAGGAGCCCAAGTACAGCCTGCACTCCAGCTCAGAGGCTATGCGCAGGGTCTGCCTTCAGACCCCTCAGGTATGGACATCAAGCATAATTACTGCTTTAAGGCACATTTTTTGACAGGCACTTGCTTAATGTTTTTTTCATGTCATCAGAACAATTGCCTATCTCTGAACCTTTCTCTCTCTCTCTCTCTCTCCCTCTCTCTCTCTCCCTGTTTCTTTCTCCCTCAATACCTCTCCCCCTCTCTTGTCTCAGATCCACATGTCTATCCAAGCAAAGCTTCTGCCTTCATATTAATTTTTATGACCTGAGCTTTGAGGAGGAATCTGTGTGCTTGAAAATGTTTTTTAATCCTGAGTTGACAGTATTCCCCACTGACACCAATATGCGCATTCTTGCTTGCAGCTCCAGGGCAATATATTTGGAGGCTTTGATGAGAGTCTACTGGCCCGTGCTGAAGCTCTGGCGGCTGTGGATATTGTCTCACACGGCAAAAACCATCCCTTCAAACCAGACGTGACCTACCATACCATGAGCAGTGTCCCCTGTACATCTACCTCTTCTACAGTGCCCATCTCCCATCCCTCCAGCTTGACCACTCACCCTCACCACTCAGTGCACCAATGCCTGGAAGGGGACCTCCTAGACCACATATCTCCAACCTTGACTGTCAGTGGCATGGGGACAACTGACCACTCGGTGATGTCCTCCCAGATCCATCCACACCACCTAGGAGCCATGGGACACCTCCACCAGGCTATGGGCATGGGCCATCCCCACTCTGTGTCTTCTCACAATGGCATGTCCTGCATAAACGACGTGGAGTCGGATCCTAGAGAGTTGGAGGCTTTTGCCGAGAGGTTCAAGCAGAGGAGGATAAAACTTGGGGTGACCCAAGCAGATGTTGGAGCAGCCTTGGCCAACCTCAAGATTCCAGGCGTGGGTTCTCTAAGCCAGAGCACCATCTGCAGGTTTGAGTCTTTGACCTTGTCCCACAACAACATGATAGCCCTCAAACCTGTCCTTCAGGCTTGGTTAGAAGAAGCTGAGGCCGCTTACAGGGAGAAGAACTCCAAGCCGGAGCTCTTCAACGGGAGTGAACGGAAGCGCAAACGCACCTCCATCGCCGCCCCCGAGAAGCGTTCGCTGGAAGCCTACTTCTCCATCCAGCCCAGACCTTCATCCGAGAAAATTGCAGCCATTGCCGAGAAACTGGACCTTAAAAAGAACGTGGTGCGGGTCTGGTTTTGTAATCAGAGACAAAAACAGAAAAGGATGAAATATTCTGCCGTTCATTAATCGGAGGGGATGGGCAGACCCTTGACTTTTTTAGTAGAGATATAATTCAAGACAAATAAAAGAGCAGGGATCTTTATTAAGAACTTTTGAGGACTTGCAGTCAATCAACACAAGAAGCCATCAACTTTCTCCTTCCTTCCTCCACCTTGACTTGTGTGCTCACATCAGGTAGAAAAGAACTTTCTGAGGATCATGGTACCTGAAGGAACTGGTTTTCCTTACTAGGTGCAGCTGACTCTTCCCCCTACTCGTGCAGCAGCTCTGCTGGTAGAAGTTCCACTCTCTTGTTTGACCATTACATTGCAATAACTCCTGACACACTGTGGCTATTATTCTTGTAGCACCCCTTTCTTCTACATTCTCCTTACCAACATCCTTACAGTATTAGTATACAAAAGTTTACTCTTAGCCACAATTCTTAAGCTGACATACACTATACAATTTGGTTGTGCTATCTCCTTTAAATCAACCATCAAATCGGTAGTCTGATTTGATACGAATTGAATGGGTTGGGATCCCCTCCATATCAGGTTGGCCATACGATATAAACATTTCTTACTCAATTTCCTTTAGATTCACCTTTAACTATGTAGTGCAAGGACCTACCTGATTGCATACAAATTGCAAGTGTTTAGGTGTAAACTCACATTATATGATTTTTGTAAATCTAAAGAAAATTTGTATAATGTATGGCCAGTGTTTTAGTAAATCTAGTCATCGACCACACATGCTTCCATTTTATTATCTGATCAATGTCAGATGTGGTCAAAACGATTGAATCGGAAACTGATCGAATAGCTCTAACTTTTAGACTTGGTTTAGATCTGATTATTATTATTTATAGAGGATATATATTTCGCCAACAGTTTACGCAGCGCTTTACAATGTGATTGGGTCGACTGAATTGATTGGCCAGGGCTTAAAATTATAGATTGCTTTGTATCAGTTATGTGGCCATAAATGTGATTGCATTTGTAGTTGATTCAATGGTGAAAACAGCCATACAATTGATAATTTAAGATCGTATCTTCCAACTATCGATCGAATTTTTGCTTTCCCATGTATGGCATATTGATTGGTTGTGTTGTCCACTACAGATCGATTATTCCTATCCAGAAAAATTGTTTGAAAAAGAAATTGATCATTTATTGAAGCATGTATGGAGATTGAACAATCAGATTGTGTATTGTATGGCCAGCTTTGGAGGTAGCTGGTAAATTCACTACAGCACAATTAACTTTCAGAAATAGAAGATATACTGGAGTCTTTTTTTTTTTAACACAGTCATTTTTTTTTCTTCCCAGCAGCAAGAAAAGTTTATCAATAATAAATGAGAACCGCTAAGCAGTTTTCATCTGTTTTGTTTCTGCTTTTCTTCTCACTCCATATGTACTAAAGAGAGCTTGTGATTGCGTTTAATCGGAACCCTCCCAGCTGCCTTTAGTACATAGGATGGTCGGATGTAGGTACGTACACTAGGTCAGGTCATCACTGTGCCCCTGTAGCTGAAGTCACCGTCATTATGCAACAGTTTGCCTTCTGCCTGGACTTCCATGACACCGCTTTCCTTTCTTGTTTTAGCTGCCTCTGTATTATACACAAACCACACCATCAGGACCTTTTTTTTAGTAAATTCTTCATTCCAGTACGCCCCAGCCCCGATTCCTCTATGCATTTACTATTTTATGTCATTGTCATTTGTGAAGTTCATGTGCTTGTGTGTGAATACTTTTTTTTTTGTTCTTTGAATACAACCTAAAAAATTAAGATAAAAATATGTTTTATTCCCACAAACCAACCTCTGCAATAAATACTTTATTTTTGAACTCTAATTTTATTTTTCTATATTGTGCAGTTCACACTGTGCGTTCAGATTTTAGAAACCTTATTGATGACATTGTGTGGACAGGGATTGTTATGCCAAATCATTATAAATAATGTGTGATCGAATGAAAATCAAACTGATTTTATATCATATGGGGAGGTAATGTTAGAATTCAGATTGCTTTAACTAATTCATTGATTATAGTAAAAAGAATAAAGTTGAAAACAAAACTAACTGCAAGGGCTTAGTTTAGGCAATAATAACTATATAGTGTATACATATATGCAATATACTTTAGATATACTTTTCAATATGTTAGATCAAACTGATCGAGGTGACATATTGGGAGTTAATGTTAGAATTCAGATTACTTGGACTACTTCATTGATTATATTAAAAGCATAATGAGCTGAAGACAAAACTGACAGCAAGGGCTTAGTTGCAGCAATAACATAATATATACATACTGTACATATATGCAATAAACTTTAGATACACTTAGGAATATGTTGGATCAAACTAATTGTGGTGGCATATTGGGAGTTAATGTTAGGATTCAGATTACTTGCACTACTTGATTAGATTGATAAAGCATAAAGAACTGAGGACAATACTGACTGCAATGGCTTATTTAGAGGAATACCCACTTATATAATATATACATACATATATGCAATTTATGAATATGTTAGATCAAACTGATCGTGGTGGTATATTGAGAGTTAATGTTAGAATTCAGATTACTTGCACTACTTCATTGAACATATTAAAAGTATAAATAACTGAAGTCAAAACTGACCGCAATGGCTTAGTTGCAGCAATAACAACTATATATATAATAAATAAATCCATATATGCAATGTATGAATATGTTAGACTACACTGATCTTGGTAACATATGGGGATTTCATGATAGAATTTCGATTACTTTGACTACTTCAATGACTATACTAAAGTATAAAGAGGTGAAGACAAAATTGTCTGCAAGGCAGTAACAACTCTCTCTCTCTCTCTCTCTCTCTCTCTCTCTCTCTCTCTCTCTCTCTCTCTCTCTCTCCAAATATGAATATTTTAGATAAAGTTACAATAATTCTGAATGTCTGTATCTATCTATCTATCTACAGACATTCAGAAATATTGTGACTTTATCTGAAATATTTATATATGAATAATAACAATAATAATATATATATATATATATATATATATATTTATATACATATATTTATATATACTGACATATGCAGTTGTTATTGCCTTAGCAGTTTGGTCTATATATATATATATATATATATATATACACACACATATCTATATATATATCTATATATATATATATATATATATATATATATATATATATATATAGATATATATACAATTTATTTATATGGACATATGTACCTGTCATTTTTTTATATTGATGCCTGTTTCCCTCTATTTGTCCTTTATTCAATGCTAATGTAAGTAAAGGGAAAATGTACCATTTTGAGTTGTCACTGTAACGGGAATAGAGGGAAAATCTTCCACTAGGGACAATTCTTGTGACAGTGAAGGAGAAAAATGTCCTTATACTTTGGAGAGATCTCTTTTTACTTTTCTGTTGTGTTTCCTAAGACAAGAAGTAAAGGGGCACAGACAACGTTAAAAAGAAAGGGTTTTTTTAAATTTAATTATGTATTTATTTATCTTAAAAAGGTACAGTATTTTATGCAATCGCACAATCCCATATCAACCAATCAGAACTCATCTTTCAGGATGTGAGTATTTGCTGGTTGCTATGGGTTACAGACCTCTGCGCAGCATCCATGCAGTTGGAAGCAGTTTGTTAAATCATGGGGGTGAGGGTGGATGTATTGGATCCCGGTGCTGTATTTGTTGTCAGAGGGACAGCAGGTAGCCATGTTTGCCATCCTGTATAGTAGATTGTAGTCAGGGGGAAGACAAGGATTCCGGCAGATGACTAGGAAGGAAGGCGATTTGTAAAGTTCGCAGAGGTGCAAATTCCCCATCAGATGAGGAAGACAAAAGTTCATTTGTAAATCTGTGTTTTAAACCAGGCGTTTTATTCATGAATCCCAGAAGCTTGGCTAAGATTAAAAATTAATGCTCACAGCACAAGCGTCTTCTGAATATTTCACTGTAGCATTTCAATGAGTGTCAAACATCAAACCTCACATCACCGACAAAAAGACACGATTCCGACTTTAGAGGAGCAGGAAAATCAGCCTGCCAACTCATTATTTTCCTATTCTCATCTCCTCTGAGTTCGACTTGTAGCATGCCTGCCTCTACACTGTTTAATCACCCCAATGATTTCCCTTTTTTTTTCCAATCAGATGGGCTTTAATAATAAATGTCCTTATGCCATTACATTATATTGTGGGTTTCGAAAATTTAAAATAAGCCTAATGCAATATTAATTGACTAGAGCGGTATAAAATAGCAGGGAACAGAGGCCACGCTTCATAAGACACTCCATCCTCGTCCACAAGGATTTCAGGGTCTACCACAGGGATTTCCCAGCCAGGTAAGGAGCCTCATTATTTGTTCTGTACTACAAGCCTCTCTACACGGTCCTCTCATTTACTGCTCTGCTGCCATTTTACTTATGCCAGATATATATATATATATATATATATATATATATATATATATATATATAATTTATTAATTCATTGTTTTTAGTTTAGTTTTTATTTTCCTTCGTCCCAATGTTACTCCTCTGCAGTGTTACAATAATAATAATAATAATTAATTATTATTATTATTTATTCTAATATTAATTTAATAACCAAAGGTTAGTTACCTACATTTTCAGAATTTAACAGCCACAACCATTTTTCTGAATACAGGTTCTAGCATTTTTTTTATTTATATCTTTTTACAATATATGTACAATAAAATGGAAAAAAAATGCATCTCTCAATGGTATCTACCATACCATCCTCTCTCTCTCTCTTTCTCTCTCTCTATTCTCTCTCTCTCTCTCTCTCTCTCTCTCTCTCTCTCTCTCTCTCTCTCTCTCTCTCCCTAGTTCTTTCCCTGTCTGTCTAGTTTTTTTCTCTCCTTCTGCTTAGTTTTCTCTCTTTCTGTCTAGTTTCTCTCTCTCTGCCTACCT